AAAATAGACGTAAGGTGCAACTCGCGTTATGATGAGTGGAAGAAAGCATGTTCAAGAAGAAGGCCGAGGAGTTTCACAAGTGGGAGACATTTTGGTATAATCAGGTGTATGCGACTGGCGGGTTTGAGACGAGTGGGGTGACGGCGCAGCGGGTGGCGCATAATGGGCGGATTGCGCGGTTTGAGAGTGACTTGTTGGATTTGGCAAGGGATCCCGGGGATAAGGGGGTGCATGGTGTACGTTTGGTTGATGTTTTCTTTTCTCTTTGCCCTTTTCACTACCACTTCCCCTTCTCCACTCCCCCTCTCGATCCTGAACACAAACCCCACCCCAAAGCCACCAGCAACAAAACTAACCCTCCCCCGCTCCCCCTCTCACAGCTCCCCAACCGCGAACAATACAAACACGCCATCTTCGCGCCCGACGCCCACAACGGCCTCGACACTCTCGTCTTCCCCTTTATCCGCGAGCCCATTGAACAGCGCGACTGGGATCTCGCAGCCAAAATGGTCCGGAAAACAGCAGATATTTTGAATCGTGCCATGGGGCGGTTGGAGTCGGGATAGTCTGGGGATATGTGTGCGGGGCACAGTGGTGTAGGACTGGTTGTATATACTAGAGAGCGAGGGGAAAAGAGTGAATATGGAATTCTTTGCATCCATGGCGTTGCTTTGTTTTGTCGTTGTTCTGGGGGTTTTTTTTTTGTCTTGGGGTTGGGTTGGGCTGGGCTGGGGGAGACGGGAGACGACAGGAGAGAACAGGAGAGAAGAGGGAGAGAAGAGGGATAGGCAAGGTCCCAGCCAATCCAGATCGCACCGATGTAGACCATATCAGATCAGATCAGACCAGATCGCACCGGTGTAGAGCATATCAGATCACATCAGACTTGACCGGCACATGTTTGGCCATGTCATGCCATGCCATACCATGTATTAGGGCATCGCGTTAGCAGATAAAGGCATCGAGGCCTTGAATCTAGCCATATACATGGACGGACGGACGTTTGCTTTGCTCCATATACCTTTCTATTCCTCCTTCTCCTTCTCCTCCCCCAATGCTAATCTAGCTAAAGATCCCTCGTCTTTTTCGGTCGTATCCTTTAGCTTCTGGTATGCTTCTCCATTCTTCTTTTATTCCTTTTTTCCTTTCTTGCATATCATGTTAATCCCATCGCGAGCACAATTGCAAGTTTCCTCTTTCGATTTCGAGGCAAAGACAGTTTCACTTTCACTTTTACCTTCACAATACACGTCCCCATAGCTATATAAAACGACAGTAGCAGTTAGTCGGCCGTA